AATAAAATAAAATTACTAGCATGATTTCTATCTAATTTATCTCATTTTATAATTTGATTAAGGAATAGCCATTCTATCAACTAAACATGTCGAGAAGAATAAGAGCATTAAACTTACAGAATTCAGATTTCAGTCTTATTTCTGTTGCAACTAGCTTGTTCTTCATTCCTTACAAACTAAATGCTGGAATCAAACAGGCTAAACACCAAAATGATACAATAAAACACACAAATTATAATTTAGCACACATAAATCAGAATTCAGATTGTAGTCCTATCTAGTTTCATAGCAAGCTGCAGTCAGCTCTCCTTACAATAGAAGATGCAAACCACACAAACAGACTTTGATTTGTTATGTTTTATTATCATTGCACCAGCAAGACAGAATAGAAAAGTTGAGTCCTCGACTGTGAAGAAGCATACTGAAACTTAAAACAACCCCTCAAGGTGATTTACTCTCTTATTTTCAGAGAAGTAATGCAACATGATTGTGTGAAATGGTTATGTTGAAATTATGGGTGAACGTAATTATTTGGACTATGATTGTGTTACAAAAAATTACTTATTTGGACTATATTAATAAAAGAACCCTCTAATTCCTATCTTATTATGTGTTTAGCATAAAATAAATTATAAAGGTATGACAGTCTAAGCTAAGGAAGATGCCACTTTGGAAAATTTTAACAGAATGGTACGCTGGCCCAGATAGTTTGATCTCAGAATTCAACAGTACATATAACTAGGAGTGTGGAACACGCTCAAGTCAACTTAAAACAAATGGAAGACCATTGACTTGTTGACTTACCTGCTCTGGTCTCTCTCAAGCTAGAAAACACAAGTTAATTAAGACAGAATTGAATTAATCAACTTTGGAAATTTTAGTTTCCGCTCTTGGAAGCATCCATGTAACAGAAAACAAGACTTGACCTTTGATTTATGAGCAGGAGCTCCTTAAATCAAAAACCTAAAAGAAAAATGAAATTTGTGTTCAGCCAAAACAATTATAGTCATTTGAAGTGATTAGAACAAATCAAGATTAATTCAGCTGAACAAAAATGAAAACTGTCAGGGAAAAAATGGTCCAAATTTTACCTTTTGGTTCTGCTATTTGAGTTAGAGAATCTTTCTGCTTGTATATCTGAATAGCTGCAATGGAACACAAAGATTGAACAATGACAACAGGGAACGTAAAAGAATTAAAAGGATGCATTAATTTGTTGTAGGTATACCATATATGATATCTTCTCCAGATTTTGATGTGAGGGCCATTGAGTTGTTAAGATCAATAAGAATGGAATTTATTGTAGGTGGACCATGTATACATGAATGGACAACTTTCATGATTGTGTGAAATGGTTATGTTGAAATTATGGGTGAACATAATTATTTGGACTATGATTGTGTTACAAAAAATTACTTAGTCGGACTATATTATTAAAAGAACCCTCTAATTCCTATCTTATTATGTGTTTAGCATAAAAGCTATGACAGTCTAAGATAAGGAAGATGCCAGTTTGGAAAATTTTAACAGAAAGGTACACTGGGCCAGATAGTTTTATCCCAGAATTCAACAATACAAATAACTAGGAGTGTGGAACACGCTCAAGTCAACTTAAAACAAATGGAAGACCATTGACTTGTTGACTTACCTGCTCTGGTCTTTCTCAAGCTATAGAAAACACAAGTTAATTAAGACAGAATTGAATTAATCAACTTTGGAAATTTTAGTTTCCTCTCTTGGAAGCATCCATGCAACAGAAAACAAGACTTGAACTTTGATTTATGAGCAGGAGCTCCTTAAATCAAAAACCTAAAAGAAAAATGAAATTTATGTTTAGCCAAAACAATTATATATTCATTTAGAGTGATAATAACAAAATCAAGATTAATTCAGCTGAACAAAAATGAAATCTATCAGGGGAAAATGGCCCATGCCTTTTGGTTCTGCCATCTAAATTTTAAAACCATTCTGCTTGTATATATTAGTAGCTAAAATGGAACATATTGATTGAACAATAATGTCAGCTGGAAACATAAAAGAATTAAAAGGATGCATTAATTTATGGTAGGTACACCATCTATGATATCTTCTCCAGATTTTGACGTGAAAGCCATTGAGTTGTTAAGATCAATAAGAAAGGAATTTATTGTAGGTGGAACATGTATACATGAATGGACAACTTCGAGATCACCACAAGTAAAGAAAGAATCCAATTAATTTATTGTAAGTAGACTATGTATATAATGATAACTTGGTGACCACCATAAGTTGGAATTTTCACCATAGGTATGTATATTTTCATAAAGATATTGGATTGTAGAACTTAATAATGTGCACTAAATTCTTCTAAAGGAAAATAAAGAAATAACAGTGGAACAGTCCAACGAACATCCCATAAAATAATTACTACCAAAGATCATAAAGCTTAAAGCTTTCATAACACTCTCTCAATGTGATAGGAAGGGAATCTAACCAAGAAAAGAAAGAGAAACACCCAATTATAGCATTTAGTGGCTAAGCCGCTAAGGTCAAACTGCTGAAGGCTGTCAAAAAATTATTAGGGACCAATGGGACCTGTTCAGATTAAATAAACACTTCATTGTAAGGTTTGTAGATGTTTCAATATCGAGGTTAGAAAGAGAAGGCTATTTTGCTATTGATCTAATGAATTAGCCGCTCTCTATAAGACAAGTTAGGAAAAGAATTCATTATTACTTTCTTATGTGAAAGTGGTCAGAAGCATTATATTTGCCCCTTTCGTGATGCCATCACTCCAGTCCCCTAGGGCAGAACCTTGTGGTTAAGAGCTTGGGTCTCCAAGTTGGAGGTCACAAGTTTGAATCTTAGAAGGGGTGGAGAAGGATTTGGAAAGAGTAACAAACAAAAACAAACAGAAATTGATTGCATTGTTGTTTCCATTGAAATATTGAACTTGCACATAACAAACCCACTTCGCAGAGAAAGCAAGAACTAACCTTTGATGCGAACCAGCAGCTCTTTAACTCAAAAACCTGAAAGAAAAAAGTTGAAACCGCATGAGATTACAGAATATTTATTGAATCATTCACAGAAAAATAAGTGATTATCTAGTTTTGTGATTTCTGGGGATGAAAGAAACAGAGGAAGAGAGAAAAGAAATTACCCGTTTGATTGACGACTTGAATCTCGGGCCCTCCCTCCACTTCCGTCACTTTTGAGAGGAAACAAGGGCTGCTGAGACTGAGAGGAACATGGGAATGGCTTCGACGTTTTTAATCAACCATGTCAGGTTCTCCACATGATGCCCAAAACCCACCCCATTTTTAACCCTTATTTATTTTTACTGTGTACCTCACAATCACATTCCATGTTAAAACAAAAAAAAAAAAAAACCGTACATGAACATCTCCTGGCCATTTGATTATTTAAAGATAAGATCTTTATATTAACAGTAAAATTTTGAATTAGGTTTTACACATAGAGATTTTTATGTGTCTCTCTAACGTAAATGTGAAATTTTTTTACAAAGGAATTGAGAATTCAATTAAAATAGAAAATGAACAATGTAAAAGAAATTTTTATAATTGCATCAACATTTGTTGAATTAAAGCCTGCATAATTCATTAGCAAAAAAAAAAAAGAATTCATTAGCAAATAAATTAAAAATAAAAAAAAAAAACCTACAGAATTTAGATTGCATCTAAGTTAATTTCAAGTATGTCATTACAAACTTGTAGATGATATAAAACAAAAGTTACAAGCCATCTAAACACACTTGTGACTAAACACACAGAAAGAGAAAGGGCACATTGGAAATTGTTGCTGGGGTAGCTGAGAAGACCTACTAGATTTTCCCTTTGCAGGATGAGTGCTTGAAGGTGATGAGACATCTTCAACCTGAAAAGCAATAATAACAGGTGATTTGCTCCGTTATTCTTTTAAATAAAGCAATGAGGTTGTTAATACAGGATTAGTATAAATGTGTACCTACTTCTCCACTCCAGGCTGTAGACGTAGGGGGAGACTGGTGGCTCCTAAGACTTAAAAACTCTTTTTCGTAGTTTGGAGATAATGCTGTGTCAATGGCAACCCAATTGTTGCTAAAATTAAATAAAGGCAGCCCTTCAAGTTGCTGAGAAAGATCCTCACGTTGTTGAGAAACAAGAAACAGAGATGATTCCATGTATGATCTAATTTCAAAGCCAAAACTCCAACAAAACCAATGGCCGCTCCTAGTTTTTTTGAATGGCAACAACTTTATTAAATGAGTACAAAGGTTACTCAAACTCGATCATATACAATATTAAGAAATTATCAATCATTCAAGTTAATCACTGGCTCTTAACCAGGTTCCAACTACCCATTGTAAAGTAATTCGTTTACTAACACATGCCCTTGGAGTAATGAGCCAGTCTAACATAAGAAAAGGCCTTTCCTTTCCTTCGTTTTTTACCCACTGATATGTCCTTACTTGTACAGAGTCAATCATTTTGCCAACATCTACCGTGCCACCATTAAATTCCTTTTCATTTCTAGCATTCCAAATAGTTCATGCCACTGCAAACCGTATAGGTTCCCAGCCTATCTGTATTTTTCCATCAAGCATGAGTCCCTCGTGCTGGTCAAAAGCTTCCCTCACATTACTTGCTGCAGCTGTGTACACACCCCACCATTTATAGCGGTTTGACCAAACCTGGGAAGCTATTTTACAGTGCAAAAACGGAAGGACCACTCCTAGTTTCATTCTCAGTTTAAACGATTACAAGAATTAAGATCAATGTTCTTGTTGTTGGCACCACTGTCCGTTTGAAAATGTATATTAGAACTTTATGATAAAAGCATCGAGGTTGCTGAATTAAAGGCCTGCATAATTCAGGCTTTGATATTATTATTTTGACTGCACGCAGCTTGTTCTTCATTCCTTACAGACTAGATGATGAAATTAAACATACATAAAACCATAAACACACAATCAAATCAGGATTCTTCACACACAACAAAGGAATATAACAGTTGCCCTGAAGACACTGGACGCTGAGAAGAAAGCCGGTGAATCACCTTCCAAGAGAAGTTAAATCCTAGAAGGTTTTGAAGAAGCATCTTGTACTGCCAAAAGAGAAAAAGATAGTAAAGGTGTTTATCTCTGTTATTTTCCAATAAAGTAATGCAGTTGAACAAGATGACACAAAATCATAAAGAAACAAAAGACATACCTTCCTCTCCATGCTCAAAGAAACGAAGGATGGTTCCTAAAACTTAAACTTTCTTCACAATCTGGTAGCATTAACTGTTATCACCAAACAAAGTGCTGCCACAATCAAACAGACATAGTCCTTCAAGCTGCTGAGGTAGACCTTCATGTAGTTGAATAGCAAGAAAGAAACATGTTTCCATGGATGATCTAACTTGAAAGCCTGAACACTTAAAAAGCTGAAAGCCACACCAAGTTCCATACTGGATTTAAATGCTTTCCAAAATTCATCTTCATCTTGTTGATTGTATTTGACACCACCATTGGTAGATTTTTCATCAGTGGGGCATGTTTATGGTAAAGGAAGTCCACAGAGTGCAGGATTACCAACAAATGCAGAAGCAGGAAGGCTCCGCAATTGGGTGCTGGATGGAATTCTCCCAAAAAAGTTGTTATATGACAGGTCCAATTTGCTCTGAGAATATAACTAGGACATGCTTGGAGGAAGCTGGCCTAAAAGCATGTTGTGTGAAAGATCAAGTGATTCCAACTGTCTCATTTGGCCAATATCTGGGGGAATCCTTCTAGTCAAATGGTTTCTTGATAATTTCAATTCATGCAGCTCAAAAATAACTCCATCCGAATAAGCACAAGTGCATGCATAGACAAGTTGAATGAACCCTCCATCAGAATCCATCATGATGTCAAAAATGATCACAGTGAAGCCAAGATAAAGATTAATGAAACAATTTTTATATCATTTGCAATGATGTTCTCCACCAGTACCATTACTTCTATCACTCAATTTATCATGTAGGTGAAACTTAAAAATGAGGATCAAGGAGACCTGTTCACACTTTGATACTTAAAAGAAAAGAAACAGAGAAAAAGAAACTGTTTATGGAGGCATAATAAGCACATGAAATGAATCGAAATGTTCAGGTAATGGGACAGTAAGAAGTTTGCTAACAAGTATTACGGAAGAATTGTAAACCTATCATTCAACAGAGCAAAAAAAATTATACACTACTAGTAGATTACTAATTCAATTTTTAAAGTAAAATGAAAATGTATATTGAAACTTGAGAAGAATAAGAGCCTCAGAGTCTCTGAAATAAAAAGCCTGAAGAATTCAAGGTTTTCATCTTATTTAAAGAGCATGCAGCTTGTTCTTCATTCCTTACAAACAAGATGGTGACATTAACATACACAACACAGAGATGATGCCATAAAACACAAACCATAATGTGTTACACACAAAGAGTGAATAGAAACAGTTGTCCTGAAGACAGGGGTAGCTGAGAAGGAAGCCTGGAATTTCACCTCACAAAAGAAGTATAATCCTGGAAGTTTCTGAAGAAGCATCTTGAACCTGAAAAAACAACAATTAAAGGTGTTTACCTCTGTTATTTTCCAATGGCATAATGCAATTGAACAAGATGACATAAAGTCACAAACAAACCTAAGACACACCTTCCTCTCCATGCTCC